AACAACTTTGGCAAAGCTCTTTTCAAAAGGGCGGGTAGGATCCAAGCCTTGTTATATAACGAAATACTTCATAGCTAAATCTATCCAAACTCTCATTTCCACGTATCATCTTTCTTGACCACGGAAATAAAGAATGATCATGTTATGCACGGGGTTCTGGCATGTGCTGGACACCGAACCAAAATATTACTGATAAGCATGTTCTGGACATCGAAGGTCACTAGAACCGGGCCGTATTAAAAAATGGTGAATACATTGTTAGTCAAGCAATGCAACTTTCGACGTTGAGTCGGGGGTCTCTTTGGAAACAGTCTCTCTACTTTCGAGTAGGGGTAAGGTCTGCGTACACACACCCTTCCCAGACCTTACTCTTGTGGGATTTAATTGAGTTGTTGTTGTTGTCATATTAAATTTAGATTAGACTAGATTAGATCATAAACATCTTTAAACAAATCATATCAGATCTTTAAAAAATCAGATTATATCAAGGGACCGGAATGCAGTCTAAGGTTTAAAGCCAACTTAATCCAACTTTAACCATTAGAATTGGCTGAGTTAGTAATTTTGTTTGAAGTACGCTCTTCTGATTAAAAGTTGGGTTTAAGAGGAGTCCTCAGTCCACATCTCTCTTACTTTGTTTTTGTTATCTACATGACTACATATAGTACTCCGTATTGTTTAATTTAATTAAAGAAGGGTAATTTATGCAAATGAAACTTAAACAGATCATTTTTTCTAAATAAGACCAGTCTTATTTACTCTAACATTGGCAATGGAAAATTTTAAAACCCCCTGCATTTGAAAGAAATAACCTATTACACAAATCAAATAGATTAAGACATTATTTAAAAAAATATTACTCCGGGTATCATCCATTATCCAACACTTGTTAATGATGTCATTCGTAAAGTCATTCGTATATCAAGTCATTATCTAACATTTGTTGCTAATGACCACATTCGTAGAGTCATTCGTATAATAAATCATTATCCAACATTTGTTGTTAATGGAAGCATATATGGCAGATCATATGAAAATATATACCATAAAGGGAATAAAACATACTTGGTCATATGTGTATCAAATTTGTCATTAAAGAACTTTTTTATCAATCTAAATTCTCTTGAAGAGATGATTTAGTATGGGGTTTCCCCTTCCCTATTTGACAAATAAAGAATTGTTTCTATAAATGTAATTCAATCTAATAAAAATATGATCCAGCACATTATGCAATGTTAGAAAAAATAAGAATCTTGAACACAAACGAAGAGGTACAATAGAAGGAAATTCAAACCTCAGAAGGTCATTCCTACTAATGCAGTATGAATCAACACTATACTTGAATGAAACAAAGACCTATCTTTCATTCAACAAAGCTTCCACAGCTTTCCTTCCAGAGGCCAAAGCACCATCAAAGGTAGCACTAGTCACAAAATCACCACACAAGTACAGGCCTGATCTTACCCTTGGGTTCCTCTGCAAATTCGTCGGGGGGGTTTGGTTGGGTTGGGCGAACCTGACCCGGTACATTCTCAAATACCTCCATGCCCCAACCACTGCCTCTCCGAACCACCCCGAGAGCTCCTCCAAAACAAGACTCACCACTTCCTCATCGTCCAAGTCTTCAAAAGACCCAATGAGCGACACCGAGACAAGAGCTTTCCCCTGAGGGGCATAAGATGTAGCCACGTTATTCGCGAAGAACATGTTGTTCACGATGCCTCTTCCCGACCCGTTTAGAAACAGAACCGGGTCCTTAACCGGGATTCTCTCATGGTCTGCAGAGAAATATAGACATACAGTGCTCCTGACTGGTTTCCTTGGTTGAAATGCTTCTTCTCCGGCCAATTTGCCTGCCAGAAGCTTGCCTGCCTCTGATTCTTCAACTGCCAGAATCACTCCAAGCTCGCCCTTAAGCATTTCTCCATTTTCAAGCTTCACGCGCATCGCTGGAATTGAATCGGATTCGGGATGTATAGAAGCGACTCTTGATTTCAGCCGTATAGAGCATTTTGGCAAGTTTGCCGCCAATTGTTCAGGAATTGCGGCAATGCCTTTGGCCGGAAGTGTGTTGTCCCCGAGGGAGAGGCACTTGAAGATGAAATTGAAGAGCCGCGATGTGGTTTCGAGCTCTCTGTAGAAGAAAATTCCGCCGAAAAATGGCCGGAAAAACCGATCCACCATCGAATCTGAAAAGCCGATGCGTTTGAGGAGCTCATACGTAGAAACCTCGTCGGCCGTCAAAATCTCATCGTCTTGCAGTGCCGAAACCCTAAGTCTGGTCAATCCAATTAGAATTTTATCCACAACGGAGCCGATAGGGTTCGCCAGGGACGATAAGGCGTCGGGTAAATGGCGGAGAGGGTCCGCGACGGTGTGGAAGCGACCGCCGTAGTAAATCCGAGCTCCCGAGTAGAACTTCCGAAGGTCTAATGCGTCGTAGTTCAGAAGCCTTCTGGCCTCGGGATAAGCCGTGATGAAGATCTGGAACCCGCGATCGAGGATGAAACCGTCGACGGCTTCGGAGCGGACGCGGCCGCCAACGGCGTCGGAGGCTTCAAGCAGGACGAAAGGGACGTTCTCAGCTCGGAGGCAAGTTGCGGCAGCTAAGCCAGCCAGTCCGCCGCCGATCACAATGACGCCGGTTTTCTTTACGCCGGTTGGAGAGGTCTGGTTGGACGGCGAGGCGTCCTGGGAAACCTGAGAGGATGCATAGGTCGGCTTGTGGACTCCGAGGCGGCTTGGCGCGGAGATAGCGAGGGCTGAGACGGCGGACGAGAGGCTGGGAAGAGGCGGCATTTGGATATCCTCATTTGCTCCCATCCACCCGCACAAGTAGACCTGGCACTAACCCGGACCCGATAACCCGAATCGAATAATCCGGAACCGAACCCGATTTGACCCGAAAACTGAAGAATCGAAATAAAACCGAACACCCGAAATGATCCGAACCGAATGTATTCAGACCCGATTCAGACCTGAATCCGATTAAACCCGAACCGATTAAACCCGAACCGATTAAATCCGAACCCGATTAAACCCGAACCCGGTTAAACCCGAACCCGGTTAAACCCGGAACCGATTAGACCCGGAACCGATTAGACCCAAAACCGATTAGACCCGAAATTGATCAAATTCATTAATATTTCATTTATCAAATGAATTTGGAAAAAAAGAATTACCTATATATTTTTACATATGTTGATATGTTTCTAAAAAACATATTTAAATTATGAGTGCAAGCCATGTAACTACTTTCATGTACAAATCTTTTATTTTGTACTCCGTATTTTATAACCTAAGTTAAAATATACTCCGTATTTGTATTTTTATAGAAAGTATATAAAAATTATAGTTACATTGTAATACATATTTTATGTAAAGAATTATGTTACCAAAGTTGATTTTCTTTTTTTTTAATATGCCAATTAACACACTATAAAAAAATACTTGAGCATAAAAATGAAGAAAGGTGTCACAATCATGTGGTAAAAACTTATGATTATGTAAATGAATAAAACAAGCTAACTGACATTACCTAGTATAAGCTAAATAAAAGATTTATTCTCCAAAAATTATGAATGAGTAAAAAAATATTGAACCATCTTAAAGAGCTTTTTTAAAACACAAATCTTGATTTTCGTGGATACACTATCCAACAAACAAAATACAGCATTCTAGTGACAATTTAGAACCAAATTGTTATCCAAATATTAAAATAAAATACAAAAGTCCATCTAATGGTAGAATACTCAATACAATCTTCATTCTTCAGTAGTTGTCCAAAGAGCACTGCCACAATTCATTAAATATCCTGAAAAGTTTTAAAGAAACAAATTAAATGTAGTTGATGAGAAGAGTAATAAAAAAATCAAGTTCTAACATTGGATCACATCTAACCATTTCTTCATGCCACCGGAATTAATGGCACACTCAGAATATCCCTTGCTAAGTAAGATAGTTGTCCATATCGAGACTCATTCGTCTTCCAGAAGTCCAATATATCAAAATCTGTGATGTGTGACTCTTTAGGATCATTCAAGTAAGTCTCCAACTTTGTCTTTGTACTGCTTTCTGACAAAGCTTGTTCATTGTCATAATCCTTGGAAGAAAGAAGTAACATATAAATAAAATATAAAATGGTATTTCAAAAAATAGGAAAAAATAGAACACTATGTATATGGACATAAAATTAAAGTGGAGAGAGAAAAGAGAAAATGATAATTGTTAACTTACTGCAAGAAAATCATATCTGCACTTTCGTTTTCTTGATGTGCTCAACGATGTGTGGTTTTGCGATGTTGGACGAGGACTTGAGGTTGTGCCAACATTTGACTCATATTCAGCGAGAAGCTTCCCGAGATTAGACTGAATCTTACTCACTTTCGAAAGTGCTTCCTTTTCATCTTCAAGTAGCTTTTCATAACAATATTTGATATATGACATCTTACGACGAGGATCAAGAACAACAGCAAATGCTAATAACATCGTGTAATCATTTTCATCCACATGATTCCAATACTTATCAAACTTTTCCCTCATAGTTTCTGCCATTACTTGTATATTGAAATCATTGCTCCGAATCAACTCCTTTATAAGCATTCCAATTTTCCATACATTCTCAAAATAGAAATTGGCAGTGGGATAATCACTACCCGAAAAAAGGTTGCTTATATCATAAAAAGGTTCCAAAACATCACGAATTTGTTCAACCATATCCCATTCCTGAATCTCAGGACAACTCTTAAAGTTGACTTCACAAGCCATCATTTGGTTAAAGGCATTTCGGTATAAAAGAGCCCTGTCAAGCATCATATATGTGGAATTCCATCGAGTAGGAACATCTAACCATAGGGCCTTTGTAGCTGATATCCTAGCTCGTCTCACACAACTTTGGAAAGTAATTTTTCTAGCCTTTGACCACTTCACACAATCTCTAACCTTAGCAATACTACTTTGAATCACAGTAAGCCCATCTTTCACAATAAGATTCAACACATGTGCAGCACAACGAACATGAAAGAAAAGACCTCTATACAATAATAGCCCTTGTTCATTGAGTGTGACTTTCAAAAAGTTTTGCATCTTGTCATTGCTTGAAGCATTATCCAACGTGATAGAAAAAATTTTATTCTCAATTCCCCATTCATGAATTAAATTCAATACTTCACTGTATAAAACATGCCCAGTATGTGGTGGTTCTACATGTAGAAAGTTCAAAACCTTTCTATTTAATTTCCAATTAGAATCCACATAATGAGCAGTCAAACACAAATAACCCTCTGTTTGACAAGATGTCCACATATCAGATGTTAAGCAAATATGACCAGGCACATTTTGAAGAGTAGTTTTCAGATGGGCTTTTAAAGTCCCATGTAGTTTCAGAACATCAGACTTGGCAGTGTTTCTACAAATGGATTTGACTTGGTTGTTTAAATGCATGGATCTTTCTATTCCCTTCATGTTCAACCCATGAAAATGCATACCCATGCTTTATTATTGCTTTAGCCAACAAATCCTTATAGGTTTTCTGATCAAAGACATTAGATGTACCTTCATTGTTTGTCAAACTTTGCTGATAAGCTTAGACATTTATCTAGATGCCTCTTCATATTTGATGTGATAGGTAGGGTATGAAAAAGTAAGAGATAAAAGAGTTTTTTTAAGGAAAAAGAGAAGTTTATTTGGAGATAAAGAAAAAACGAAAGAGAAAGTTTATTTAGGGACGGAGGGAGTACTATGTATATTTTAATTCATTATAATACTACCTTCGTCCTTAAATATTTGTCCATTTTTTATTTTTTCAGTCAATATTTAACCTATAATAAAATTAAATAGATAATATAATATTTTAAAAATATTCGATATAATAAATCTAATAAAACACTTTTTTTATAAGTATCTAATATCATTTTTATTTAGTTTGAAGTCAAAATTTACTAATTTTGACCAAAAAAGTTAAAAGTAAACAAATACTCGGCGGCTGAGGAAGAATTATTTTTATATATAGTTATTCTAATATTTGAAACGCAAAATGAAATGGATAGTTTAATAGAAATTTAGGAAGTCGAAGTAAAATATTAACTACAAAGGTTGCGCCGAAAACTTTAAGAGCGAAAACTTTAGAAACAATTAGTCAATTATATAAGTGTTTATTTTTTATGTACGTCCGTATTCAATAATACGGAGTAAAATAACTACGAAGTATGTCATAAATTAACTAGATTTGTTATGTGATATTATTCATTTATTAGTTATGTGATATTTGAACTAATATAAATTTAAACCGATATAAACTCAAATCAATACAAAGCCGAACTAATACAAACCCAAACCGATACAAACCCGAACCGATACAAACCCGAACCGATACAGACCCGAACCGATACAGACCCGAACCGATACAAACCCGAACCGATACAAACCTGAACCGATACAGACCCAAACCGATATAAACCCGAACCGAAACCGAAAACCGGTCAAACCGAAATAAACCCGGAACCGAACTGACCCGACCCAAACCGACCTGAACCGATTATAATATATATCCGAAAGAGACCCGAACCGAAAAGACCCGACCCGGACCCGAACCGATTGACCCGATTGCCAGGTCTACGTACAAGTTGGCGGTTAGGCTCTCTTCTCCTCTTTTCACTTTAAAATTTCTAACAATTTTCTCTTTTTTTAATTCGTTTCATTTTCTTCTAATTTTTTTTAATTTTCTTCAAAAACTTTTTCTAAGTTTTCTAAGTCATTCTAGTTTTTTTCAAATTCATTCTATTTTCTTCCAACTTTTTTCAACAATGACTTAAAATAATTATTTAATTTTATTTCCATATAGTATTATTATTATTATTATCTCAATCAATTAAAAATTGATTAAAAAACGTATTCTGAATAAAAATTTTAGTTACTACTCCGTATTATAGAAGGGTCACGTAAATATTTAAGATTCTAAAATGCTTAATTTATAATCTTCATTGTGATTTTAAAATTTTTGTTAATTACAGTATGTTACTTTGAAATACGTCCTAGTCACTATTTTAAAATGTTGATCAAAATAATTGTAAATTCTATTTTCATTCATTAAGCATTTCATAACTTTTAAGTGTGCATGAATTATTTAATTACTTTTTTAAAGGTTATATGAACTTTTTTAAATTTTTTAAAGAAAACACTTTGTATGAATTTTTACACCATTTTCTCTTTTTATTCCATTTTGAAAATATAGATTTATATGAAATATAATACATTTGCATCATTATTTTGTATCTACTATTAAAAATATTATATTTAGTAGTTAAAAATTACGGAGTGTATATATGTATATGCACATATTTAGTATATCACTATATTTTCTTTTGTATAACCTTTCAAAAAATAATAATATAAAGTAATGTATCTAATAGTCTAGCTACTATAAACTATTATATATAAATTTTAGAGCATAGAAATTATTGTAAAAATATATTTTTTTTAAAAAAAGGTATTGTATCTAATAATAGTCTAGCTACAATAAAATATCATATCCAAATTTCTAAAAAAACGTATAATGCATGTCATATTATTATTAAAAAATTAAAATAAATACAATTAAATTTTAATTCATATAATGTTTATATATTAGTTGAACTTCCTATATACTACCTCCGTCCCATTTTATAACGCCTGTTTCGGTTTACGATGTTTGACTTAAATTATTTTCAAACCATTTTATATGACAAATAATATAGAATTAAAAAATAAAAATTACATATTAAAAAACTACATCAAAAGATCTACAAAACTAGTAGTGACAATAATATTTTATTTTATCAAATTGCTAACGAAAATAGAGAAAGAAAGTGAATGAAGTTTGACTCTGTGAATAGTAAACAAGCATTATAATTTGGGACGGAGAGTATAAGTAAAATAGAGTTCTTTAGTTGGTGTAATTCAGGTGGATAATTCATACTCCCTACTTAGGATTACTAAGGTATTTGATTTATTTCTTAAAAAAAGAAATAAATTAATTCCAAAGGCTTGAAAAATTGGCATATATGTAATAAAAAAACTCAGAAAAGAAACCAGACAAATTATCAATATTTACAACTATAGCCCCATAATCAGGGACAGGGTACTACTAGTACTGCTACAAGTACAACACATTAAAAGATATCCCTTCTGCACAAGGGACAGGAGGCGTGCCTCAACAGCCATGGATCGATGCACGGCAAGTGAAACATGTGGTGGCACTGCCGCAAACTCCTCACCGTCTCCCCTACCTGAAAGTCCTGTTACATTTTTTAAAAAAAAATGTTAGAAAGCAAACTTCGAATTACGTTCCGAGTTCTGAAATTTGAAATGAAAATGTTCGATATGAGTTCTGGAATCGAGAGAAAACGATGCGTGCTTTGAATTTTGAAATGGGCGTGTTTGAAGATATTTGGCATCTGATATGGTTGTTACTGGGCTTGTTTGGGAACATCGTTAGCGTTTTGGATAAAACTTTAATGGTGCATATTAGTTCTAAAAAACAGCAAGTCTTTCGTCAAATAGCTTTTTCAAACCGCTAACGCTGATGCCAAACAGGGCCACTGACAAGTAGAGGTGGCGGTAGATTGAGAGATGTATGAGAAACCCGAGATTTATCTCTCTGAAAGTCAGAAGATATCATAACATCTGGATTTGGGGACGATATCAAAACTGATATCTTCTGCGTTATCGTAAAAGTGCAAACTATAATAAGAATAGAAGAGTTGATAACCTGGAGGCACACGGAGCAAGAGGATCCTCCCCCCGATGAATCGTTATTGTTTTCGCAACATATTACCCTTTTCGGGATCCTCTCCACAAAGTCTCTCGTCAAGCCCTTCACACTACCGGTGTCAAAAATGCTATGAGCATCTTCATACATGGATTCAATGGCTCCCATCTGACAAAGATGGACAAGATGGTACTTTTTAAGCAAATGGAAGCAGAAATACAACAATCAAAACTTGAAATGCTGAGAAAAGATCAGTACCTGGCTCTGCACTGCACTTAGCATCGCGGGACCAATGCGTTCGCGAACAAGTCTACCGCTCAAGAGGCTTGCAATCACATCAATCTGTGTGGTTTGATCAAATCATTCAACAATTCAGATGCAAAGCATACATTTCTCCCAAATGAGCAATACAAGAAGACAGCAAAATGTTGACCCACAATCTGCCAAAAAGAGAAGATTGTGTTGGAGGGTCATTGGATGGTTTACCAAGTAGAGAAGACAGCGGAGCCCGGATTCATCGGACTGCCAGATACGAAGAGAAGATTCGAAGACCTCAAGAGAGAAAACGGCACCGGAGATGGCACCAACTGCGGCGCCCCTTATGAAACCACTCTCTGTTTCTTGCCCTATCAATGCTCCCGTCATTGCCCCTAACACCGTACCGACTGCAACCATGAAATCAATCCTTTTTAGTGCACTTTAAAGGTAATAAACCCCTCTCTCCCCTTCTACAATTCATTTCAACACAAATAACATCCCATACAATACAATTATCTATCACTTCTATTTAGGCTTTGTTTGGTGGCATTGTCTTGCTTTTTTATATTTCTATCATCAACATAAGCACAATGAGGAGTCATTTGGCTTTGATTCTGAAAAGGCGATTCCGTTGATTTTGCAAATTTCCATCACAAAATTTGCAAAATGAATGCTACCAAACGGATGCAAAATTGGATGCTACCAAACGCTCCCCGAAAAACACATAGAGCCATTTCAGCCACACAACTGCTGTCAAACTAGTCCTTAAACTCGAAGTTCTCTACCATCATGTTTTAGTTCCGCAAGTAACTTCAATAAGAGTATTTTTCTTTATGCTTCTTTTAATGTCTAATAATTCCAAAGCATATTCATTTCTTGGTTGCTTTCTTTTTTGTTCTGCAAGCAAGCTCCAAAGATCATCCCCTTTTTGGCTGGAAAAAGAGCCCCAAACATGAAAGATCATTCCTTTATGTTTTGTTATTTACCAAAAAAGTTGTAAAGATTCTCAATCCCTCACTTCTACTCCTAAAAATCTGTTCTTAATTTATAAGGTGGGTTATGAATAATAGTATTTGGGAAAATATTTTCGTACTTTTCTGAATAATTTTAGAACATTCTCATTACATATTATTATCCTATGAACACAAATATGAAAATCAAATGGCCAAAGCAGTGAACAGATGACCAAATAAAACAAAAATCAAAACGAGCAAACACAGATTAAAAACCCCTAATCATAAAGAAAGGACAGAAATCAAAGAATCGCATAAAGCAAACAATTAATCCACAAAAGCAAAAAAAAAAGATTAAATTTTTACATACCCAGAGCAAAAAAGAAGGTGAGAATGGCAGAGAAGACATTGCCAATGGCAGCAGAAACAGCAAAGGTGAAGAATTCCTTAGCCCAATCGGATAAATCGCCCAAAGAAGAAGAAGCAAACGGAGAAGACGAAGGCAAAGCTCGAGACAGGCAGGTGTACAAGTCCATCGATTCTGAATCTTTCTTCAGAAACCTTTTCCTATTTTTCCAAAATATTCTTTTAGAAATTATATATATTCCTTCTGGGTGTGAATGGAGACAAAGAAATGCAGGCCACCCAGAAGAATAAAAAGAAAGTAAGAGAGAAAAAAAAGACAAAGAGATGAAGTGATGAAATAAAGAAAAGGAAAAAGATAATATCTGGAAATATCTATTTTGGGATGTGCGGTTGTTGTATTTATACAGGCGCGGAGTATATGTGCCTTAGTTGCTAAGCTAAGAGATGACTCAGATGAGGGAAGGGGTAGCGACGTGATGGAGAGTTATTTAAGAGGTGCTCTCCAATTCATCTCGGACAAGCCCATTCCTGGTCCCTTAAAATGCATAATCAAAGGGGTAAATAAGACTTTAATCTATATCTGATCCAAGCGGGTTGGGTTAAGATATTACATTACGAGAATTTTCTATGGCTGAGTTCGGCCCATATAACGGGCCTAACAATTGAACTTCGAGCACGATACGTATAACACTCGCGGGCTTCATGTCAGCCCGATCCGCACGACAAAAACTTTTTAATAATTTTAAAAATAAATATTTTAATTCATTCGAGCCGGCTAGCCTGTGAGCTTGAGCATAAACCTCGAGCCTGGTCCTAAAATATTTGGACCGTCATTTATAAGGCCTAATTTTGGCTCGTATTCTAAAATATCAAGCACAAGTCCGCTATTTTGCGGGCGAGCCTGATACTCGAGCATGTGATCTGGTCTACTTGAATATACTTGTCCTGCCAACTGCGGGCAAGTTCCAATCCTCTCAATTACCCTAGGAGATGGTCATAGATCTCATTTAGTCTTAATCTTCGCAATTATATTTGAAAATTATTTTTGAATTTTTATTTTATTTAGTTTTAAATGTGTAGTATTTTATTTTTACATTAATTTTAAAAGAAATTAAATTTTGTACATACTCCCTCCGTCGAGTATTTGTCCACTTTTGATTTTTTGGTCAAAATTGGTAAACTTTGACCTCAAATTAAATAAAAATGATATTAGATATTGATACAAAAAGAGTTTTATTATATTTATTATATCAAGTATTTTCAAAATATTATTTTATTTAATTAAAATATAATATATATTTTATTTATTTATAGGTCAAAGGTTGAAAGTAGTTGACCGAAAAAAGTCAAAACTGGACAAATACTCAGGAACGGAGGTAGTATGTAATAACTTCTACTCTCTCACTCCATAATTTTTTTTACATTTGATATTTCACGGTTTCTAATGTTATTCTTTGTTCAATAATATTTCTATTATATTATAAAAGATTACATTATTTCAGAATTATGTTCTAAAATGAATCCATTGATACTGAAATTATATGACAATTTAAAATAATTTTTTCCATAACTTATTCTAAGAAAAAAAATTGGGCAAATGGAGTACTTTTTTAAAAATTCTACACAAAATTTAAAGAGAAATTTACCTAAATATGACTAAAACATAATGATTTTCCCAATATAGGACCATATGTTTTTATTTCCAAATCTAGGACCTTTGGTCATTATCAAGTAGTCATTATTCAACTAAATGTTCATGATTACATGACATTATTCTTTCCACTAGGTCATTATTAACTCCTATTTAGGGAATAAAAAAGTTTAAGTTCTACATTAGGAAAGTCATTATGTTTTAGTCCTATTTAGTGCAAATTTCACAAATTTAAAACATACTCCGTATTAAATTAGAAACAAGTTCAGTTTAAATCAAAATTGACACTCTTATTTAAAAAAACTAGTATTTTGACCCGTGCGATGCACGGGGTCGAACGAAACTGTTGTCGATTTTGAAATTTTTCAATGAAATATTTATTCCAAAATCAAGTAAATATATTTCTGTCACAAATTTTAATCAATGGAAAACAATGACAAAGTAGAATATAATATTTGAGAAATTGAAAGTGTACTCGAAAAAATCTTTTTTAATTCCAAATTTTTTGAAAGACTTTAGTGTACACAACATTTTTTGTATCGTTGTAAGCGTTTTTATTTTCATCTAGAACCAATATTTTTAATCATGTCTTTTTCTTTACTCGTGAAACAGTAACATAAAGCTAACCATGAGTAAATCCCGAATTGGTTAAAAATAATATAGCAAAGGACAATGTTTGACATTGACTTTTGTTTATAGTCATAGCAAAACATAAGACTATTATATTGAGAATTCTATCAGATGATACCAAATTTTATTCAGGGTATGTAAACCTTTTTCTCCAACGCGATTTTTCGAAACATCAATTACATTGATAATGTTCTTTCACATCTCTTTAATGATTAATCTTTTACCAATACACAATCCATATATTTGGTCAATGTTCTTCAATAACATAA